AGAGGCTTTCAAGAGAAAGCTAAGGAGCCAACAACGCCCTCGCCACCGAATTGCAAGTCTATAGATTCTCAATGGTCCAGGCTAATAGCTGAGAGGAGCAGTTTGAGGCTGAATTGAAATATTTCCGCGGAAAGACGTTTGGCTAGGGAGCCAGGGAGCCAGAGAGCCATGGAGCCGGGAGAAGGAAGCCCTCAGCAGATAAGGCAAGCGCTGCTTTTCTTTGTTTTCCTGGGAGGGTCTTTGGTGTGTTCAGAGACCTGGCGCTATTCTGTGGCAGAGGAAACGGAGATCGGCTCTTTTATAGGCAACGTGGTGAAAGATATAGGTTTGGGCGTGGAAGACCTGGCTGCGCGGGGGGCCAGAGTCATCTCTGATGACTATAAACCATACTTGCAATTGGATCGGCAGACTGGCAACTTGATCTTAAATGAGAAACTGGACCGGGAGGCGCTTTGCGATCTCACCGAGCCATGCATATTAAATTTCCAGATATTATTTGAAAATCCTTTGCAATTTTTTCGAGCTGAGCTTAGGGTCAAAGACATAAATGATCACACTCCCACGTTTCTAGACAAACATATACTTCTGAAAATCTCAGAAAGTACTACTCGAGGAACCTCATTCCAAATGGATAGCGCTCAGGACTTGGATGTAGGAAAGAATGCTGTTCAAAACTACACATTAAGCCCCAATCCTCATTTCCACCTTAAACTGCAAGACAGTGAGGAGGGTGGAAAATACGCAGAGCTGTTACTGGACCAAGCTCTGGATCGAGAAAAGGAGCCTGAACTTAGATTAACACTAACAGCCCTGGATGGTGGGTATCCGCCTAGGTCTGCAACTGCACTGGTGCGTGTGTTGGTCTCAGATATCAATGACAATGCCCCAGAGTTTGAGAGGTCTGTCTATGAGGTTTTGGTACCAGAAAACAGCCCTCTGGACTCCTTGGTCGTCAAGGTGTCTGCTATAGATTTAGATGCAGGACTAAATGGAGAACTATCTTATTCATTTTCCCACGTCTCCAGAGACATACGGAAAACATTTGAAATCCATCCCATTTCTGGCGAAGTCCGTTTAAAAGCACTTCTGGATTTCGAGTTAATTAAGTCTTATACAATAAATATTCAGGCCATTGACGGTGGGAGCCTTTCAGGAAAATCAGCAATTTTAGTTAGTGTTGCAGATGTGAATGACAACCCACCAGAAATAGTCATAACATCTCTTACCAGCCCCATACCGGAAAATTCGTCACCTGAAATGGTAGTCGCTGTTTTTAGCCTACGAGACCAAGACTCTGGGGACAACGGGAGGATGGTTTGCTCAATTCAGGACAATCTCCCCTTTCTCTTGAAGCCTACCTTCAAAAATTTCTACACCCTGGTAACAGAGAGCCCTCTGGACAGAGAGACCAGAGCAGAATACAACGTCACCATCACCGTCACGGACTTGGGGACACCCAGGCTGAAAACCGAGCACAACATAACCGTGCTGGTGTCCGACGTCAACGACAACGCCCCCGCCTTCACCCAGACCTCCTACACCCTGTCCGTCCGCGAGAACAACAGCCCCGCCCTGCACATCGGCAGCGTCCGCGCCACAGACAGAGACGCGGGCGCCAACGCCCAGGTCACCTACTCGCTGCTGCCGCCCCTCGACCCGCACGTGCCCCTGGCCTCCCTGGTATCCATCAACCCGGACAACGGCCACCTGTTCGCCCTGAGGTCCCTGGACTACGAGGCCCTGCGGGCGTTCGAGTTCCGCGTGGGCGCCGCCGACCGCGGCTCGCCCGCGCTCAGCAGCCAGGCGCTGGTGCGCGTGCTCGTGGCGGACGACAACGACAACGCGCCCTTCGTGCTGTACCCGCTGCAGAACGCCTCGGCGCCCTGCACCGAGCTGGTGCCCAGGGCGGCCGAGGCGGGCTACCTGGTGACCAAGGTGGTGGCGGTGGACGGCGACTCGGGCCAGAACGCCTGGCTGTCGTACCAGCTGCTCAAGGCCACGGAGCCCGGCCTCTTCGGCGTGTGGGCGCACAACGGCGAGGTGCGCACGGCCCGGCTGCTGAGCGAGCGCGACGCGGCCAAGCACAGGCTGCTGGTGCTGGTCAAGGACAACGGCGAGCCGCCGCTCTCGGCCAGCGTCACGCTGCACGTGCTGCTGGTGGACGGCTTCTCGCAGCCCTACCTGCCGGCCCCGGAAGCGGAAGCGGCGGACGCGGCCCCGGCCGCCCCGCTCACCGTCTACCTGGTGGTGGCCTTGGCGTCGGTGTCGTCGCTCTTCGTCTTCTCGGTGCTGGTGTTCGTCGCGGTGCGGCTGTGCAGGAGGGGCGGGGCGGCCTCGGTGGGTCGCTGCTCGGTGCCCGAAGGCCCCTTTCCGGGCCACCTGGTGGACTTCAGCAGCACGGGAACCCTGTCCCAGAGCTACCAGTACGAGGTGTGTCTGAAGGGGGGCTCTGGGACTAGCGAGTTCAACTTTCTGAAGTCTGTTGCCTCCAATCATCAGGAGTCTGTAAATGATGTAGAGGAAAACTCAAACTTTATTAATGGTTTTGGATTCAATTAGGAATTTTTTGGTTTTTCAGAGCATTCGGGATGAAAGTTTTCTCTAAATATACCGTTTCCATTAGCCTTTTGGGCCATATAGAATTTCTTGATTTTTTTTTCGGATTTCATTTTGCTAGTTAAGGAGATTAGAAATTTTATTTGAGAATATACTCATACTTACTCTATTATTTCTATTTTGATGGAGACAAAGAACTTTCAATTTTACTTCATTACTGAAAAGTCATGAATATTTGTTAGTTTTTCAACTTTTCATCATCAAGCACTATTGATTTGAAGATGACCCCAAACCCATTCTGATTGTTGTCCAGAAACTTTTTGTAATTTTTTGATGTTGTGGTTACTTAGGAGATGAGCATGATACAAATATAATGAATTATTAGTAAATCTTCTGTTTAATCTAATATTATGCCTCCTTGTCTTAAACTTTTAAATGGAGAAATATCTGAAAAAATGGCATGTTTTTGTTTCACAGTAGTATTAAATGGAAAAGACTACAATTTTTCCTATACTTAAAGGTGTTTTCTCTATTTTTATCAACCTGCAGTATATAATATATGAGTAGTATTGAAAGATTATTAGGTTTTTTTAGGATATTTAAATAATAGATTCCTTTTGTGGTGTCTGTCTAGCCCACCCCATCTTTTTCTGGAAACTTCTCTCTTCAGTAAAAATGTACTGTTGCAGCCATGTTTATTTTCTATGACCCATCTCCCTCTGTGATTTCAAACAACAAGACAAGGTGGTAGACATTAGTGATCCAAACTGATCCAATCTCATTATCTATGCTTAGAAAAATGACTTTAGAAACTGGTTATAGTATCTCTGTTAGAAACTTAACAAGAAAGTGATACCATGTTGGCTAAATACATGAAAGAAGCACAGAAAGCCAATCTACTTAGAGACAAAAAGGAAGGAGATGCCTCATTGTGGATTTTCCAGTCGCTCCCAAATGTACTTTCTCTCTTGAGCTTTTGGAAATAAATATGAAATTTTAAAATAAATTTCCCTCTAAACAAGATAGCTAAGTGGATTTGTTCTCTTATCAAAAGCACTTTTAGATATGCTTGCATGGATTGGACCTTACTATTAATTTGAGATGTTAAAAATTGTGGTTTTCATATTAATGTAATATTTAAGATCAAAAGGTTGTGGAATATTAGTAGTCTGTAACGGAGAAGAACAAGCGTTTGTTAGAATATACAATTTTGAGAAGAATTGATGGATATATCCAAACTGTACAGTCTTTGGAGTGTTTAATAGAAATTAGAAATTATTAGAAAATTCTACTATATAAGAGTTTTTGAATATCATTAGTGTCATAATAGCTTTACTGCAAAATAACACTGATAATGTAAAATGTGTTCTAAGAGATGTATGCCTTATTTGTAGGCTCATTATAGCCTTGTTATTATGTTCTTTCTTTTTTATAATATATTCCTTTGCTTAGGGGAACCAGGGTATTTTGTCATTCAGTGAAAAAACATTTTAGATCATTTTGAATTATTTCAAATTACTATTCAAAGGAGCATAGAAAAAAAGTCACTTGAGAACATGCTGTCTTGTTTATTTAGCTCATACAATGAACTAGGATGTTAGCAAAACAGGGGGCTTCTACATTAGGAGGAGAATCCATCTATCAGAATTATAAAATTAATTTATTCATTGATCTATTTAACAAATATTTGTTGAGTATCTCCTAGGTGCCAGGAACTATTGTAGATGTTGATGGATGTAGAAGTGAACAAAACAAAGTTCTTAAACTCAAGGGTGACACAGAAAAGAAACAATTAAATGTGTACATATATGCTGTATAAGATGGTGACCAATGCTAGGGAGAAAAAGCAGGAGGAGATATGGGAAGTGCCCTCATATGCATTTTTCCACAGTTTGAAAGTTTAATAAAATCATAAAATCTCTGACCTTATATAGAAAGGGTATTATAAATTGGAATGAACTAATAGCTTTTTCCTTGATGTGATTCAACCAATGGAAACCACAATTCTGGCACATAGGGTGCCTAGAATTTGAAAGGAAATCTAGAGGAATTCAAACTTTTTGCTGAGAGAACTTTAAGAAATCACATAGGTATATATTGTTATTTTTACAAGATGACTGATCACTTTTAAGTCTTTCATTTCTCAGTTTTCCTCAGAATACCCCACCCAGACGACAGGTTCTAGAAGATAGGGACAATGTCTGGATTGCTTACTGATGTATTTCAGAGCCTAATACATAGATATCAGTCACACTCCTTTGAATGAAGGAATGAATAGTTATAATTGCATGGTTTTCTGATTACATCATCTCCCCCAAACCATTTCCAAACTCCCAATAGCCATCTAGATTATTATATACCGAGAGAATGCAATTGCAGCAATTCTTTTCGAATACAACGCATGATGGCGCTGCAGGCTAAGACGTTAAAAAAAAAAAAAAAAAAAAAAAAAAAAGCCCAGGAAATGCTACGAACTCTACCTCAGATCTCCAGCGGAAGAGAAAAACCTGTAAGCAAAGCTCAGCACCAAAAACTCCAGGGAATGCTGCTCGCCGACATTTCTGGCCAGGTTACCCACTGGGAGATCCACTATTGTCTCAGTCCCATTTGCTACCTAAGATAGAGCTGGCCCCTGTTTCTGGAAAGGCGTTTGTGGGAGTAAAGATGGAGGCCGGAGGGGAGCGCTTTCCTAAACAAAGGCAAGTCCTGATTCTCTTTCTCTTGCTGGGAGTGGCTCTGGCAGGCTGGGAATCCCGTCGCTATTTCGTGATGGAGGAAACTGAGAGCGGCTCCTTTGTGGCCAATCTTGCTAAGGACCTGGGGCTGGGAGTGGCGGAGCTAGCTGCGCGAGAAGCCCGGGTGGTCTCCGAGGACAACGAACCCTGGTTGCAGCTTGATCTACAGACTGGGAAGTTGATATTAAGTGAGAAACTGGACCGGGAGGAGATGTGCGGCCCCACAGATCCATGTGTAGTGCATTTCCAAGTGTTACTGAAAAAACCACTGGGAGTATTTCGAGCTGAGCTACTGGTGAGAGACATAAACGATCATTCTCCTGAGTTTCCTGAAAGAGAAATGACGCTGAAAATCCTAGAGACTAGCCCTCCTGGGACCGTGTTTCCTCTGAAAACAGCCCAGGATTTGGACGTGGGCAACAACAACATCCAAAACTACAATATCAGTCACAACTCTTACTTCCATGTTTCCACCCGCAACTGGGGGGACGGCAGGAAATACCCAGAGCTGGTGCTGGACAAAGAGCTGGATCGCGAAGAGCAGGCCGAGCTCAGATTAACCCTCACAGCGCTGGATGGCGGCTCTCCGCCCAGGTCTGGCACCGCCCAGGTCCGAATCTCGGTCTTGGACGTTAATGACAACGCCCCTGAATTTGCACAGACGCACTACCAGGTGCAGGTCCCAGAGAACAGCCCTGTAGGCACCCTAGTTGTCAAGGTCTCAGCTAGGGATTTGGACACTGGAACAAACGGAGAGATATCATATTCCCTTTTTTATAGTTCTCAAGAGATAAGCACAACTTTTGAGCTAAGCAGCATTTCAGGAGAAGTTCGACTAATTAAAAAACTAGATTTTGAGACAATATCCTCATATGAGCTGTATATAGATGCGTCTGATGGTGGGGGACTTTCTGGAAAATGCTCTGTCTCCATTGAGGTGATGGATGTTAATGATAACTTCCCAGAACTAACTATTTCATCACTTACCAGCCCCATTCCTGAAAATTCCCCCGAGACGGAAGTGGCCCTGTTTAGGATTCGAGACCGAGACTCAGGGGACAACGGAAGGATGACTTGCTCCATCCAGGATGATCTCCCCTTCCTCCTGAAACCATCTGCAGAGAATTTCTACACCCTAGTAACAAATGGGGCGCTGGACAGAGAGAGTAAAGCCCAGTATAATATCACTATCACCGTAACAGATATGGGGACACCGAGACTGAAAACCGAGCACAACATAACCGTGCTGGTGTCCGACGTCAACGACAACGCCCCCGCCTTCACCCAGACCTCCTACACCCTGTCCGTCCGCGAGAACAACAGCCCCGCCCTGCACATCGGCAGCGTCCGCGCCACAGACAGAGACGCGGGCGCCAACGCCCAGGTCACCTACTCGCTGCTGCCGCCCCTCGACCCGCACGTGCCCCTGGCCTCCCTGGTATCCATCAACCCGGACAACGGCCACCTGTTCGCCCTGAGGTCCCTGGACTACGAGGCCCTGCGGGCGTTCGAGTTCCGCGTGGGCGCCGCCGACCGCGGCTCGCCCGCGCTCAGCAGCCAGGCGCTGGTGCGCGTGCTCGTGGCGGACGACAACGACAACGCGCCCTTCGTGCTGTACCCGCTGCAGAACGCCTCGGCGCCCTGCACCGAGCTGGTGCCCAGGGCGGCCGAGGCGGGCTACCTGGTGACCAAGGTGGTGGCGGTGGACGGCGACTCGGGCCAGAACGCCTGGCTGTCGTACCAGCTGCTCAAGGCCACGGAGCCCGGCCTCTTCGGCGTGTGGGCGCACAACGGCGAGGTGCGCACGGCCCGGCTGCTGAGCGAGCGCGACGCGGCCAAGCACAGGCTGCTGGTGCTGGTCAAGGACAACGGCGAGCCGCCGCTCTCGGCCAGCGTCACGCTGCACGTGCTGCTGGTGGACGGCTTCTCGCAGCCCTACCTGCCGGCCCCGGAAGCGGAAGCGGCGGACGCGGCCCCCGCCGCCCCTCTCACCGTCTACCTGGTGGTGGCCTTGGCGTCGGTGTCGTCGCTCTTCGTCTTCTCGGTGCTGGTGTTCGTCGCGGTGCGGCTGTGCAGGAGGGGCGGGGCGGCCTCAGTGGGACGCTGCTCGGTGCCCGAGGGCCCCTTTCCGGGCCACCTGGTAGACAGCGGCACGGGAACCCTGTCCCAGAGCTACCAGTACGAGGTGTGTCTGACGGGAGGCTCTGGGAGTAATGAGTTCAAATTCTTGAAGCCTGTCTTCTCCAATATTCTAGAATCGGACCTTGGGAGGAAGTCAGAAAGATGTTCAACCTTCCAGAATAGTTAGGTATCTAAAACTTCCCCAATGCAAACATTAGTTTTGTCTCCTACACCTTTCCCTTTTTTAACCTAGTAGTAATCTTTAATGCTACTTGTCTTTCTTCTTTTCTAGTTTTTCTTAGTAATACTACTCATTGTTTTGTTGGCCTGTTTGTCCTATAATTATTTTTACAATTATTGTTAGTAAAAATTTTATATCAGGAAATTTCATATTTCTGATTAAACTTTTAGTATTTATTTCTAAATGATAATATGAAAGTTAGCCTCTCAGAATAAATGTAATTCTAAGTTTAAAAGTACACTTCTCACTATATGACACTACATAAAATGTCTGATCCCTTTTTATCATACTTCATTTTTTAGTTACTGGAAGTTTTTTAAGTTTTTATTATTTACACAGTTAGACTTGTCTATAACCCATCTTCTGTTTGGAGTGGAATCAATTTATATTTACTTATGTCCAATTTCTTCCAAGCTCTGTTTGGATTTTTGTTTTACCAGTAGGCAGCAACATGTATAATTTCATGCTATTTATTTCAAAAATCACACTTGTAATCATTGGACTTTCACTCTGAAATATTGCATATGTTATCTCATGCAAGTATATATTTATCATCTATTCTTTCTCATCTAAATTAATGTTGAAAATACTTGTAAGTTCTTCCTTATATCTAACTGAAGTTGTGATCCTGTTAAAGAGTTTACTGATACCAGGTTGACTATGTTTAAGGAGTTCTTTAGACGTGACCAAGTAATGCATTGCCTGCAATTGTCCCTTGCTATTGTAGATGAATTCTCAAGTGAGCTCCAAATTCTGGGCCTAGAGGAGCTTTTGATGACACAGCATTCCAATATCTGCTTGCCTTTGGATGACGACATTGTTCTGGTTAATAGGGAATTTGAAAGAAAATGCATTGTAGAATTAATATTACTTAACCAAAGAAAACTTAGTAAAGGATATGTTGGTGAGCGAGTTGAATGATTTGAAGACATAATCAGCTCTGTTGTCAGGACTCCTCTATCTCCAGGATCCTCATAAGTGGATACTATAGAATGGTGTGGTTGGCAGAGTAATGGCCCCCTAAAGACATCCACATCCTAATCCCTGGAACCTGTGAATATTCTGTGTTGTATTGCAAAAGGGAATTAAGGTTGCTAATCAGTTAGTCTTAAAATAGGGAGAATATCCTAGATGATCTGGATGGGCCTGATTCAGTCAGTTGAAAGGCCTTAGAGCAGAGCTGAGTCTTCCCTGAGATGAAGAAATTCTGTGGGCAGCAGCTTCTTATGCCCTAGACTTCCAGCCTGCTCTTTCTAATTGCCTGCTCTACAGATTTTGGACTTGCCTAGCCAGCTCATCCAACCAAGTAAGTCACTTCCTTGCAATAAATCTCTTAATATATATCTCCTGCTGGTTCTGTTTCTCTGGTTGAACCCTGACTGATACAGATGTTGGTACCTGGAAGTGGAGTGCTGCTGTAACAAATAACTAAAAATATGGAAATTGCTTTGGAATTGAGTGGCAGGCATAGGCTGGAAGAATTTTGAAGCACATGATGGAAAAAGCCTAGATTGCTTTGGACAGACTGTTAGTTGAAATACAGATGTTAATAACTCTGCTAGCGAAGACTCAGAGGGAAGTAAGGAGTATGGTGGAGAAAACATATATTGCCTTATAGGTTACCTAAATCAAAACCTTAGGAGACTTGGTAGTAATATGGATGTTCCCTGGTGGCACAGTGGTTAAGACTCCACCTGCCAATGCAGGGGACAGGGGTTCGAGCCCTGGTCCAGAAAGATCCCACATGTTGCAGGGCAACTAAGCCCATGTGCCACAACTACTGAGCCTGCGCTCTAGAGCCCTCGAGCCACAACTACTGAAGCCTGCACGCCTAGAGCCCATGCTCTGCAGCAAGAGAAGCCACCGCAGCAAGAAGCCCACGCACTCTGTGCACCGCAATGAAGAGTAGTCCCTGCTTGCTGTAACTAGAGAAAGCCCACGCACAGCAACAAAGACCCAACACAGCCAAAAATAAATAAATAAATATTTTTTTTAAAAAAAGTTTAAAGTCACTGCTGATGAGGGCTCAGAAAGAAATGAGGAAAATGTTATTGGAAACTGGAGGAAATAGAATCCTTGCTACATAGTGGCTGAAAACTTAGCTGAATTGTGTCCTGCAGTGGAAATGTGGGAGGAAAACGACTTGTAAGCGATGAACTTGGATATTTAGCTGAGGAGATTTGGGCTGAGGAGGCATGGGTTGAAAGTACAGCGTGGTTTCTTCTTGCTGCTTATAGTAAAATGTGAGAAGAATGAAATAGACTGAGCGAAGGACTGTTAAGCAAAAAGGAACCAGAATATGATGATTTGAGAAATTCTTAGCCTATTCAGATTGTAAAAGAAGCTAAAATTAGGAAGGTGTGTTCTGGAGAGAAAGCCAGTGATGTCACAGGTGTACACTATTTGTACTAGACATACACATTGAGATGATACTATAATGAGATGTGATCTTTGAGGACCTTAAATATATTTTTTTTATGTGGGATGGATGTGAATCTTTGGGGACAAGAGGGTGGACTGTGGTAGGGAAAATAATGGCCCCACAAAATATCTATGTCCTAATCTCTGGAACCTGTGAATATCTTATGTTATGTGGCAAAGGGGAATTAAAGTTGCAGATGGAATTAAGGTTGATAATCAGCTAACCTTATAAGGAGATTACCCTAGGTTATCCAGATGGGTTCAGTGTAGTCACAAGAGCCTTTAATAGGAAGTGGAAGTGGGAAACAGAAAAGTCAGTATCAGAGTGATGTTCTGTGAAAAAGACTGAACCAGCCATTACTGAGTTTGAAGATAGAAGGGAGCCACAAATGAGGGAATGCAGACAGCCTCTAGAAGCTAGAAAAGGCAAGAAAATGTATTCTCCCTTAAAGCCTCCAGAAAGGAATATAGTTCTACCTTAACTTGAGCCCAGTTTAACTTCTGACCTCCAGAACGGTAAGATAATTTTGTGTTGTTAAGCCACTAAGTTTATGGTAATTTGTTACAGCAGCTATAAGACATGAATACAAATGGCTACCAACAAAGCCATTTCCAAGCCCATTTTTCTTTTCCTTTCCCTA